TCTAATAGTTTAAAAGAAAAAGATTGATAGCCAGAAGGAATCAAGAATAAGTTCTCTATTACTCACAGAAGCAAAATTATGAGGCTCTCAACGCGGTGGTTGAAAGAAACTGAAAGGGGACGCTTAGCGCCAAGGTATTTATACGGGTGGGGAGGGGCATATTCTAATGTGTTCACTGCTACCGTAGAAGCTCTAGAATATTCCGAATGAGGCTCCGCACAGGTGCAAATCACCCAGGGTGTGATTCACAGAGGCCACAAAGAAGAACAATGAGAATCTTTCAAGTATGTTCTAAAAATTTAACTGCTTATAGCCTAATAATAAGGCACATTAAAAAAAGGAAAAGACAGAAAATATTTCTTAAAATATTAAAGTAATTGAAAATAAACATTCATAAAGTTAAAAAAAACATTTAGCTCTAAGCATATTATGACACATAAAATCAATATACGCTGTTCTTACTCAAATGTATTATCCATCCTTCTCTTTCTGTAGATGAGATGGTTCTCATAGTTGCTTCATCTTCTGATGATTGGTCTTCTTATGCAAGAGCCTTGTGGCGCAGTGGTTAAACCGCTGTACTGCAGCCAAAACTGTGCTCACGACCTGGGGTTCAATCCCAGGTAGCCGGCTCAAGGTTGGCTCAGCCTTCTATCCTTCCGAGGTCAGTAAAATGAGTACCCAGCTTGCGGGGGGGGGGGTTGTGTAGCCTGTATAATTAACTTGTAAACCACCCAGGGAGTGCTTGAAGCACTTTGCTTTGCTTATGGTGTAAGAGATCACCTGGTTGTTTTTATAGTGTAATCTATATTTATGTAAATCCACTAAGAAGAGGTGACTTTTTGGCTTTTTTTTTTACATTTATCGCTACCCAACCAATGACTGTCTGCTGATCAGCAAGGCATTGTTTCTATTTACTGCTAAACTGCAACAAACCTTTGTTTACCTTTTCTGTTATTGCTTACAAGTGGAAAGAAAACAATCCTGATGTCACATACACCTGCCAGTAAGCAAAACAAGATGTACTTACAGCAGTTATCCATTAGTTGTCAGTATTAACTATCTCCATCTCTCTTATGTAAGGACTAGAAAGCTGAATGGAAGAGTTGGCTGCCGAAAACTGTTATTCCTTCAATGACCTGGCTAGTGCCAACTGTAGTAAACAGTGTTTTCATGCTGTAAGTTTAAAAGTACTTTAATAGTTTTAGGGCTATTTCCTATACTACTAACAGTTTTAATTCTGTAACAGTAAAGGTAGGAAACCCTGACAGTTGCATGACTTGGTGCATGGCAAGAACTGAAAGTGTTGGCTTCTAAACCAGAGGCAACTAACTGCCAAAATTTATCCTGTTTGACTTCCACAAGCAGGCATAAGCAATAGGATTCTGGCCAAGGGTGTCTACAAATCATAATTACCAATCGATATCATGCCTGGATCAAACTGGTTCAACGTTTGTTTTCTCATGGCTTAAGACAATATGCAGATTCCAAAGTCTACTTAGGTAACGTTAGCTACCTCACAAGAATGGCTGTCATTTCTTTACCTGAAAAGAATTCATCCAGCGAAGAGAAGGTGGTAGTGAAACATTACTCTGGGATAGCATCAGCAGCAGTTCCAGACAGGTACGTGGTGGAAAAATTAGTGTGCGCACTCCAGCATCATTTCCCCATGCGTCAATGAGTCTGTGAAGCAACCAGGAGCCCTGTTATTTATTGAATATGTACCCTGGGTTACAAATCATCATAGATTCATGAAGTGTACTATCACTAGCTCCCATCACCCCTCACCACTAGCTATCCTCATTAGAGTGATGGGAGGTGTAGTCCAATAGCATCTGGAGGATCTCAGGTTACCCACTGTTGGCCTAATCTACAGTGGGGTCTCTACTTAAGAACTTAATCCATATTGGAAGGTGGTTCTCAAGTTGAAAAGTTCTTATGTTGAATCTGCAGTCAATGAGTCTGTGAAGCAACCAGGAGCCCTGTTATTTATTGAATATGTACCCTGGGTTACAAATCATCATAGATTCATGAAGTGTACTATCACTAGCTCCCATCACCCCTCACCACTAGCTATCCTCATTAGAGTGATGGGAGGTGTAGTCCAATAGCATCTGGAGGATCTCAGGCTACCCACTGTTGGCCTAATCTACATTTTTTTTATAGATTGCAAGATCTAATCTTATTTTCTGAGCTCTTAAGGAGAAGTGGGATAGACAAAGGTGATAAATGAACAACAATCTCTCAGACTAAAATTCAGAGCTGCTTATAAACATCCTATAGAGCTTAAAACAGTCTCTGAACTGTTTACAATTTAATTATGCAGGCTACACACTGCCTGGTGGATACTCAGTTTATCGACCTTGGAAGGATGGAAGGATGAGTCGACCTTGAGCCAGACACCTCAGGGATTGAACTCAGGCCATGAACAGAATGTTGACTGCAGTAAATATTCTACGATATCTGCTGTTAACTGTGGGGTGTACAAATACCACTGTCTATCACTTCTGATCCTCCCAATGGTTTCTCCCTCTTGCTTTCCATCTTTATTCTTACCAGTAATTAGTTCTTTAAGTTGGAAAATACTGAACAGAAGATACACAATGCATTCTGAGTGGTGGAGCTAGCAGGCCTCCATCCGGAAGTATGCAACGTTTCAAAGAAAATAAATAAATAAAAAATCAGCACTTGGAAAATTACTTTTTAAAAGTAATTTGTTTCTGTACTACTTGAACCATTTAAAAGCTGATTTCCCCTCATTATTCATTATACCATTTTAAAAGTAACCTGTAGCACTGCTTATTACTTCATTACATGTGGGGGGGGGGAGAGGAGACTTGGGATTGATAAGGGAATCATACAAACTCTGACAAACCCCTGTCAATTATCTCTAAAAATACACCTTTAAAAAAGTAACCAGGAAATTGTACTCATTACCATTAGTAAACCTCTTGGGCTTTTCTTGGGCTCCTAAGGAACTGGTTATCAAGCAAATGCTGCCTCCACATCCCTAGTGAAGACTTTTGTGTGACTCAAGATCTTTATATTTCAAAATGGGGGGCGGTGGTGAGGGAGTACATTGCATGATATATTCCTGGAGGTAGGCAAAGGTGGGAGCAGAGACAGGAAAGTGTGCGTGATGAAAGTCAAATGCACTACGAGCACTGCAAGATTGAAAATACGTCTCGAATACAGAACAGGGGAAAATCCCACAATACAAGAGCTAGGCTGTAGAATGCGATTCCACATGAACAATGCAAAGCTGAACCATTTCTCAGTTCTCATGCACACCCCTTTGTCTCCCAGATACCAGGGGATATTGTCAGCTATAACAGGCAACAACCCTTCTGTGGATGGTTCTCCCTCTCCCTGTAGAAAAAGGAGAGGGGCTTAGGTCAAATTAAATCTCATGCAATCCGGCTAACTCTCCCGCTTGGGATTCTCTAGGGAAAGAAACTACAGAGGTGCTACGCTCCTGCTGAGCTCAGAGAGAAGCTGGCGGTGGCTGCTCATTAATACCTACTCAATGCAAAAGTTACTTATTCAGGTCCAGAGCACAATGTAATCTACAACAATCTCAGCAGTGAGTCAGAGAACATCTCATTACTGTAGACCCAAATAGCTCTCAAGGAAAAAAAATGGTATGCAAGTGCTTTAAAGCAGGTAATCTTTCATTTTTAATCACTGTGCTCACTGAAGAAAGGCCAAAGTTACAGCATTTCAAATGTAGCTTCATGACCATCGAGATTTTAATGAAAAACACAAAGCTCACGGGTGGCGGGTAAGACAACAAAAAGGTATAAACACGGATTACGTAAAACAACAGAAAGCATCTCCATCCGTTACTTGCTACCTGAGCAGCTACCTGTTAGCCTGAAGTATGGCAGAGCTTAACTTGGAACCCACCGACGAGAAGATGTCTATCATTTGGCAAACATTCCCTGGCTTTCCTAAGACACAGTCATTACGGCACAGCAGTAACTGCACAGATCATAAAATGGACATAAAACAGCAGGTAGCTGGCATACTGATGGCTTGAATGGTGCAGGGACAAAGAAGAACACTGGCGACGAAAAGGAAGTATCTAGTTCAAATCACAGCTAAACCACGGAGGCAGTCTGTGGCCTCAGGCACACTCCAGTTTTGTTCACATGGCACCCAATGCAAAAATAAATACAAGAGGAGCCCGAGGAAATGCATGAGGCTACAAAATGCTTGGAAATATCTACAGTATTATCTAAACATTATTATTTTGTAGAACGAAATGCATGAGGCTACAAAATGCTTGGAAGTATCTATTATCTAAACATTATTATTTTGTAGAAGAGTCTGACAAGAATTCCAGGGTTTTCCCCGATATGAAGCAGGCAGGCATGGTTTGCCATTCTCTTCCTCTGGGAACATGTTGCTTGCAAGGCCACACACAAGCTGCTGCCGTTTGCCATTCTCTTCCTCTGGGAACATGTCACTTGAAAGGCCACACATAAGCTGCTTCTTCTCTCAGGAGGCACACTGAGGAATCGAACTTCCAAACTCAGGTTCTCCGACTTACTGAGCTACCCAGCCAGCCATATGAGCTAGCAGGCGAATAGCAGTTGATGAGAAGTCTGCTGCCATAAGCCAAGATGGCAATCAATAAGGGATTGATGCCACCGATGTCATGAGCGACCTTTACTCTGTAGTCTTCTGAAGTCTGGAATCGTGATAACAAAGGCTGCTGCAGCTTTATAGTTTTGCCCTCAAATATTCCTAAGCCCCCAGAAGAACAATAAGTTTCATTGATTATGGTTGGAGCAGAGGAGAGAGGGAAAGACTGGGAGAAGGGGGTCAGGTACAGTGAAAAAGAGGACTTTTGCATCCTTTGGACTCTGGACATGCTCCGAACTGATATGTGCATGTCCTCCACCACTGATTAGCACCAAGAAATACAGCCCAGGGAGGGAGGGTGGAAGGAAGGAAGGAAAAGTTGCTCACTCCCAACTTATATGATGAAGGATTTGACTGCACAACGCTGATCCAGTCCTAAGACTTTGGCAGTCTGCCCTGCATTCCCTATAGTATAAGACGCACTTTTTTCCACAAAACAGGGGGGTGGAAAGTCTGTGTGTCTTATGCAGCGAAGAAAACAGATTTTTTTTCCTGTTTTCTTCTCCTAAAAATTTGGTGCGTCTTATGGAGCGAGTATATGATGAAGGATTTGACTGCACAATGCTGATCCAGTCCTCAGACTTTGGCAGTCTGCCCTGCATTCCCTATAGAATTATGCATAATATCTTCTTTTTCCACAGTTGCTCATTATGCAGCTTCCCAAAGCTTATGATGCGAACAACTGATGAATAAGGTCCCTTTGCAATGGATGTACAATAAACACAGGGTATTGCCTTTCAGTTGAGTCAGTACTCTGGTTCATCAAGGTTACAGGTAGGAGCTTCTCCAGACTCAACTTGCGATATCAAAACTGAACCAGAAAATGAATTAGGGTATTTTTGCATATAAAATACGAACTATTCTGCTGACCAACAACTCCTTTGTTATATTATAAGTTAATTTTTAAAAAACCCCAAAACCACCAACAACACATCAGACCCACAGGAGAGGTGGGAGCTAACACTGACCTTAAAAAAACTTGCAGCCCAAAGGGATTTTTAACATAGTCTAAGGTTATGGATTTTTCTCTCTCTTTACCTTGTGGCCAGAAGCTTTCTGCCTCAGACTTCAACAGTTATTCATTGTTGCGTGCTGACTCAAATGAAATTAGTCCAAGTTAGCAAACAAACACTGCAAGTAGCCATTCTGGTCTTGTATGGAAAAAACTTGAATGAGCACAAAAACGTTACTCTTAGTTTAGGATGGACAAAACAGTTACAGAAATAATAAGTGTTTCTGTTTCCCTGCCGGACCCTATCACTAACCAGACTGAGGCAACTGCCTCAGCTGGCACATTGGCAATAACAATGTAGTTGCAGGTTGCAGATAATTAGTTACTGATTTATTATTGTACAGTGGGGCCTCGCATTACGAGCGCTCCGTTTTACGACGAAATCGCTTTATGTTTGGGGTTTTGCAATAGCAAAAGCGATCGCAAAACGATGTTTCCTATAGGGGAATTTCGCTTTGCGATTATCAGTTCCTGCTTTGGGAACCAATTCTTGCAAAGCGATGATTTTCAGCCAGCTGATTGGCGGTTCCAAAATGGCCGCCAGGTAAAAAACATGGCTCCCTGCTCTTTTCTGCGATGGATTCCTTCCTGCACAGGCAGTGAAAATGGCCGCGCTATGGAGGAGCTTCGCTGGACGGTGAGTTTCAAGCCCCTAGGGGGTTTTAATGCGTTTCTATGGGCTTTTTAATTTCGCATTACGACATTTTCGTTCTACAGCGATTTCGCTGGAACAAACTGACGTCGTAATGTGAGGCACCAGTGTATGCCAAGAAGAGATGTTTCCGATGTCGTAATGTGAGGCACCACTGTATTTTTTTAACTGCCAAGAAGAGATGTTTCCAGAGATTTCTGCCCCAGGTGTCAAAATCACCTGGTACATAGCAGTGGTCCCTAACCTTGGGCCTCCAGATGTTCTTGGACTACATCTCCCAGACGCCCTCACCACCACCTTCTGCTGGCCAGGATTTCTGGGAGTTGAAGTCCAAGAACATCTGGAGGCCCAAGGTTGGGGACCACTGGTATA